TTGCAAGAAGGCGGACATTGACACACACACCCGGAAAAGTAGCCCGATTGCCCCGGGCCAAAGCGGGAGCCGGAAGGGTCCAGGCGCCGGTTTGAGACGGGGCTGGCACACCCTTCCCATAATGCACTGGGGAGGGAGGGAGGAAGAGGAAGAGGATGGCGGGTGGGGGGAAAATGGAGACGGGGGGACGCTCCCCGGAAGACGGCCCGCCACCCCACCCCGTCCCCCCCACGTCGTCTCCCGAGCAGCCGATCTTCCCCGCCTCCCGCTGGCCGGAGACAACGGGGAGGTGCCCCCAGCCCAAGGAGCGTTTGTGGGCTCCCCTGAGCGCCGCCAAACGCTCCTTTTGCAGATTCCCCGTCCGCTGAGCACAGCAGCCCCGCGACGTCCCGGGCGGGATGCCAGGCGCCGGACGAGAAGGAGCTGCTCGGCCAAGTGCGGAAGGTGAGGGCGGGCGGGTTGGGATCTCGGCACAGGTCGGGGTGTGCCCGAGAGGGAGGGGAAGGGGAAGGAGCCGGCGCCGACGCTGAGCGGGGAGGGGCGTCCTTCCTGGCAAGGCCTCTTGGACCGTCTCCTTTTCGCCTTCCTCGCCAGGCCATTGAGTCCAAACTGAAGCTGTCGCTGGGCGAGGACTTGGGCGAGGCCCTGGCAGACGGGGTCGTCCTCTGCCAGCTGGCGAACCGTCTGTGCCCGCGCGCTGTGCCCTTCATCCACGTGCCCTCGCCGGCTGTGGTGAGCCTCGCGCGCGCACGCGCTCTTTCGAAGTGGGGTGGCGGGGGACGCCGACCCGCCTGGGGTCCCTCCCTGGCGGGAAGTTGGCGGCGTTTGCCGTCCCTTTCGCCCACCGGCGCTCTTTCCTTCCTCCTCTTGCCGCAGCCGAAGCTGAACGCCGCCCAAAGCCGCAAGAATCTCCAGAGCTTCCTGGCCGCCTGCCGCCGGCTGGGCGTCCCCGAGGTGAGGCTGGGCACGGCGGGCGCGGGGGCTGCGTCCGGGGCCTGCTCTTTCCCCGCTTCCCGCCCGTCCTCGTCGCCGCTCCCGGCTGGTGTTTCCGTCTTCTCTTTAACGTTGACCTGCTCGTCTCTGTCTGTGTTCTCTCACCTGCCTCAGGTGTCTCTCTGTGGCGGCCCCGAGATTGCCCTCCTCCTCCAAGGCCACCTCCGCGGCTTCCTCGGCCTGCTGGAGGCCCTGCTGCCGCTGCTGCGCCCGGCGGCGGGGTCGCCCTTCTCGGCCCACCTCGCCGGCTTTGGCGTCTTCTATGCCTGCGTCATGTTGCTGTTGTACTTTGCCTATTGCCAGCTGTGTGGCTTCTTCTGCTGCTACTGTTGCTGAAGCGCTCGGATGGCGGCCGACACCTGACGCCAGGAGCGCCCGGCTCCCTGGAGCCCCCCGCGTTCAGCCGGCGGGGTCCCCGACGGAGACGCCGGCGCCCTCCCTTGCCTCACCGTGTTTTTTTGCAAAACTAGCGTCCCGGCTCCGCTCCCCCAAAAAGGCCTCCGTCCGTCGACGGGCGGCCAAGCGGGGTGGCGGGCCGACTCTGAGGGCTCCTTTTTACTCCCAAGTCAGCGGCCGTTGGGGACCCTCTTCCGCCAGCCCGCTCCGTGCCTTCGTCCCCACGTGGCGGCTTTCTCTTCCCAAGTGCCTCACAGCCGCCTTTCGTCCCGGCCGGCATCCGTCGGGTGCAAAGGGGCCCAACCCTAGTTGACCCAAGCTTTGTCTTCGGAGCACGGGGAGCCTTCGCCGGCTGGGGCGAGGAAGCGGCCTCGAGCCGCGGCGGGCTTGTTTGCACTCTGAAAAAAAAAAGGGGGCCGCGTGCCGTTTCCATGGCTGTGGGGCCAACGCAGTCGGCGGCCAGCCCGGGACCCCTTCCTCCGTCGGAGGCCGGAGGAGGGCAGGAGGAAGGCCACTCCATGTGCCCCGCCCCGCAACCCCTCAGCCTGCCTTTGGAGGCTGGAGAAGGAGCCAGTGGGACTGGAAATGCCTTAATGGGAGGAACTGGTTCCCCTTTCCGAGAAATCACGCTCCCCACCTGCTGCCTTAAATATCTTAAATTATATATATTTTGTAACCCCCCCACACACACACACCCCTCGCAAACGCAGACACGTTAGATAGACACACATACACATATATATTTCTGAGGTTCTCGCGGGTATTTGTATGTGGATCTTTGGTTATTTGGGTTTTCTCCCACGTAGAATTGGAAGTATCTAGGCGACGTTTCGACGAAATCTCGTTCGTCATCTTCAGGCTTGTGTCTTCGGCT